ATTAGGATTTGTAAATATTACTGATTTTTAAATATTATTTATGCACATACTTAAAGGACTGGTCTACCCAGAAGATGAATTGCTGAATAATAAATGTTACTTTTTAGAAATAAATTGCAAGATCATTAAATTGTATATCCCTCAGGGTTATTTTTAAAGTTTTTTCTTTCTCTTCCCTTCAGATTTAATTAGCAGTAACTTTAGTCTCATGTACTATAGAACTAAATCTACTGTAAAGAAAATGCTGCGAATAATGCTTGAGTAGAAGCGGCTAAAACACCCACAGAACTGACTGTCCGTATTCATTGTAACTTTAAATTGGAAACTCTTACTGTTGCACTTTTTAAAAAGTTGTTGGATTTTTAATTTTATTTATTGTTTTCTTTTCTCATGAAGTTTGTGCTGAACAGTCATCCCAAATTGGGTAAATAATCCTGTACTGTATATGTGTATACAGTATAATACTAAGTAGATGTGGAGTCCTTTTTATGCTGCAAATTTTTAATGCTTATGTTCGTCATCGTAAAATGAGAGAGCTAAAGTTCTGTAGGATTTCTCCCATGGAATTCTGAATTGTAAACTTAGGTTTTTGTATGTCTAAGGGAAAGCTGTGGGTTTTTGACAATTTTTAGAGTATTGACTATGTTGATTTTATACAGTAAAGCTTCAGGTTTTTAAAGCTATTTTCAACAAACTGCAGCTTGTTTAATAATTATATGAACCAGAAACTACTCAGTTTGTCATTAATTCCTCAAGCCTAATACAAATGAAAAGGTTCATCATTACAGTGCTCTCTAGAAGCTCAGCTTCTTTTTTTATTTTTAAATCTGAAATGATACTACATCTTTGTATTTAAAATATGGATTGCTGCTCTAGAATGGTACCCCGTTGTCAAGAGGCATACATAAATAACTGTACAATAGAATTGTAAATAGACTTGTAAATCATTTTTGTGACTGAAGCTCTTTGAAAATAAAATTAAAAAGAACAGATATTTTAACTCTTTTCATTAGTTTCATGAAATTGTTTTTAATTATTCTTTATACAATTAGATCCAAAGCTTGTTGAAGAATAAGTCTTACTCCCATTGATGTCATGGGTATCTTGTTCAGGGCCTATGTATTTTTGAAGATGGGGGTAGAGAAGTATGCATGCATTCGGTAGCACTGCTGTTCTGCAGTGGGATAATATTGACCATACTGTCACCTGCTGGTTTATGAAACCATTTTAAAGCCAGACCTTGTACATGTGATAGCGACTCGTTTCTACCTTCTGTTATTCACATGTTCCTTCTGTTCTTTGATGCGTGGGAGGCATTGTGTTGAAAAGACTCTTGGGCAAATGTTTCTGGTTGTGAGTTGTCATTGATGTCACAGTCGTCTTCAGAAAAATCACATGGAAATGAAGACATCTTTTCCATCCTGCAGCTCACCTTCTGTTTAAACATTCATTGACAGAGCACATTATTTTAAAATTGAAGACAGGATATTTGAAATACCTGGTTACTTCATTACAAAAACATAATCTTTTAATTTCAAGCTAATATTTTAAAAACTTAAAGCTTTTCTTTCTTCAGAATCTTTAAGACTTTAGGTTTTGTTGGACTGTGACTACAGAAGACTTGGAGGAAAAACAGAAGCCAAATGGGTCAACCCTGGATTGCTTAGCCAAAGCGTTAAGTAGAAAGCTTCATTCTTTACTCAAATTGCTTTGACTCCAGTCATGCAAGAAAGTAAAAGTGCAGCCTCCTGAAGATACATATCAATCACTTGGTTGTTTAAAGTACGTGTCTACTCCTTCAACATCTGCGGCGCCTGTGTAGCAGACTGCCGTGAAACTGTCTTGACAAATTTGAAATTTCTTTCTGATCATAATTCATGCTGAAATATAGGTATCTATCTGACTCTAGCCAGATTTGCATTGGGTTGACTGAAGCACATACTCCAATATCACTGTCAAAGAAACTACAAGTGTTTTTTGTGCTGTTGCATGTGTAACTTCAACCTTTCTCGTGTTCTGTGAGTGGTCTAAAATTCTGCTTTTGGAGTTGCATACAACCTATGGAAGCTGGCTGCTTACACAACTAAATGTAGGCAAAATCTGCTCTGAAGCTTAAAATATTCTTTGGCCTTTCACAGTAGTTATGCAACTATGGGTGAAAGTGTTATCTAGAGGATGCGTTTTGCTGTTTTACTTCCCATTTAAAGTGCAGAATCATGGTGAAGCCTGATTGCGTGCTATGCTCCTAGTAAGTTCCTCTAAAAAGCAGTTAAGTTTGTAAGGTACAGTTAAAAGTTCTTTTTTCATGCCCATAGGAGCTTTTAACTTTTTTTGCAAGTTTTAAAGTGAAGCACCGTAGTAAATGATACACGTGCTCGATGAAACTTAGTATTCTATGAAACTAAGTTCCAAACTGATTTGTGACTTTTAATATACTAACAGTATTAATGTATTGCTTCTGGCATCCTTTCATAATCTGAGAAACATTAGGGGAGTGGTAGTGTCCTGGTTTCAGGACAGGTA